GGTGTAGGGAGTTGTCATTGTCGGTAGTGTTGTGTTGCCATACTACCAGAAGATGTTTGTTTGATCATACAAGATTCGTTGCTGGAATTCATGTCCAATGTCCCAAGTGATTTAGATGGAGATCTGCCCTTGGCTATTTGGCATCTTTGAGAGACTCCTTGAATCTTGACTTGACTGCCCCAGATGATAGACAATGCTCATGCCGTGCCCCTTGGTTGGAAGTGTTTTTTCCACTTGAGGTGACTCTTTTTATTGAAAAGGTTTTTGTTCACTAGATATTCGTCGTGCGAATTTCTCTGCTGTTGAACAAATAGTCATATGCAAATAATGTTATTTTAAGAATGCAAAGCTTATGTCTGTTTTGAAGTTCTTTGAAAATGCAATTTTCAATAAAACAAGCGAATTTTTGTAAAATGTGATGTCAACTCAGGATTTACAGCAAGCCCTACAGGAGTCAGGATACCTTTTGTAACAGTATGCTTTCAAACTAACCCATGCCTCAGCTAGGACTTTTAAGGGTTATAACGTGGTCTGGTTCACGGTTCAAGAAACAAAGGATAAAGGCTCAGATTTTATTTGTACCCACCCGTTCTTCGTGATGTTCTTCGATCCTAAACTCAGCTAATTGTGCATTTAGACCCCGTTTTGAGTCTTTGCTTTGATATTCCAGTGATGGTTCAGATACTGACAAATTATTTTGAACAGGCAGTCATTTTGTTGAGAGTTTGTAGGACCTCTTTCTTTTTGATTTCGTTATCCCTGTCTTTTTGCCTGAATTGTTTCTTTCTTGTGATTACAGTCAGCGGGATGCCCCAGTTTTTTTTCTTAAGTCCCTTTCATAGGTTTTGACTTAATTTTTATTTGGAGGGATAACGACTGCCTGTCCTGACGATTATAGGGAACCATCACTGTCTTTTAGTTTGGGAGAACGTCTTTGATGCCATTTATTGTGCACCTGGATTAACTGAGAAAACTACCCTGCCCCAGGTTGTGATTAAGGGTTTTAATTTGTGTGAAAAGAAAAACTCCAACTTCTTTGGCTCAAAGGGGTTGACTAGGGATTATCTTCCTTATAACTCCACTGTTTAGGATTTGAAACAACGCATGTACATCGTCAGTAGGGTTTGTTCAAAAGCATACTGTAGAGATTGTGGTATCATTTTCATCACCCTCCCTCTAAAGGCTTAGAGTTTTTTAATCGAGAGTTGAATATCACGAAAAGGAAATATAAATCAATTTAAGCATAATGAAGAAAAAATTAATTCAAGACAGACATGTGTAATGCATTAATGAAATAAAAAAATTTGACATGACAATAATTGTTTGAATAAGCAAAGAAAATACAACTTCAAAATTCAAATGAACAAAAGTGCTTTCAATCCTATCCATATTTTGGCAAGGGAGCAGTGATCACATTGGGAGTCTCAGGAGGGTCGAATTCGATCTCCTTAGCGTCAATCATATTCTGAATCTTGTATTTCAGCGCCCAACAATCGTTAGTATCATGCCCCGGGCTACTGGAATGATAAGCACACCTTGCATCTGGGTTGTAGTTAGGAGAAGAAGTCTTAGGGTTCAGATGAGGGTTTATCACCGTAATCAGATTCATCTTCAACATGTGTTGCAATGCTTGTGACAATGGCATGTTGATTTGGGTGAAATGCCTTTGAAGTCTTTCCCCATTTGGCTGATTATTTCGTTGTTGTGGTCGTTGTGTGCGTGCCGAATTAGAGATCAACACTGCCCCCACAAATTAGTGGTAGTCTGCCTGGCTACGCCTCTTCTGGCCGTGCACAGCATTGGCTTCCCTCTTGCCACCAAATGACTTCTTCTCTGTACTCGAAGAGGTATCTTTCTAGATCTTACCCCTCAGGATCCCAGCTTCTACTCTTTCTCCAGTCAGAATCAGTTTGGTGAAACCCAATGATGAGTTGTCGATCAAATGATTGAAATAGGGACCAGACAAAGTCCCAAGAAACATATCCACCAACTCCCTATCAGACAGAGCGGGTTAGACTCTTCCAGCAAGATCTCTCCACTTCTGAGCGTAGTCCTCAAGGTAAAAGATACAAACCAATCCTATTTATTTATGTGCATCTTGGCTTTGTTTTTTAAACCTGGTATAGCCGATGTTTTGCCATCGCACATTTGTTTGAAACCGATGTTTCGCCATCGCACATGTTTGTTATCCTACTTTAATTCTCAATATCATTGTTAGGTGTGATGTTTTGTCATCCGATTTATTGATGTTTTGCCATCTTTACCATGATACCTTATTATCTTTTAGCCGATATTTCGCCATTGCACATTTGTTTGAAGCTGATGTTTCGTCATCGCACATGTTTGTTATCCTACTTTGATTCTTAATATCATTGTTAGGTGTGATGTTTCGTCATCTGTTTTATTGATGCGTTTCCATCTTTGCCATGATATCTCGTTATCTTTTAGCCGATGTTTCGCCATCGCACATTTGTTTGAAGCCGATGTTTCGCCATCGCACGTGCTTGTTATCTTACTTTGATTCTCAATATCATTGTTGGGTGTGATGCTTTGTCATCCATTTTATCATTTGATGTTTCGCCATTTGTGACATGTTACTATGTTATTATTTAGTCGATGTTTAACCATCTCATTTGTTTGTTGTTTCATTCGATGTTTTGCCATCTTGACTGTTTTTTTTTGTTGTCTTAACTAAAAAACACAAACCAACCAAAATATGTAAGCCGAACTACGGTTGCTCTGATTCTTTAAAAGGGATACGTAGGCATTGGGTTAGGGCCCGATCGAGCATAACTTTTATTTTCCCTACATTGTTTTCTTTTTCCTTCGCATGCATTCCATTTTCAGTTTTAAGCCATAGACATAGGTTTTGACCACACCCATTAGATTAGACAACAAGAGTGGATACCGTAGAATACTACAGGCGTGTGGGGTGCTAATACCTTCCCCTCGCGTAATAGACTCCCTTACCCGATATCTCGGTCGAAAGACCGTGATTTCTCCCTTTTCAGGTTTTCTCGATGTTTACCTTTCCCTTTCGGCGGGATAAAAGACGTTCGATGGCGACTTCATTAATGTTTCATTACATCCAGATGACAGGTTCCGACCGGGTGGTTTCAGCTACATGAAGATTTTTAAAAGGTATACAAAGAATCATCACCATCCAGAAGCTTCGATCGTAGAAAGGTATGTCACAGAAGAAGATATTGAGTTTTGTACAAACTATTTGTCAGATGCGAACGATATAGGAGTTCTCGAGTCTCGTCATGAAGAACTTTATGATGGTAGAGGTATTCAAGGTTTAAATGTTAAGACATTTAGTCTACAAGTAGTTCTTCAAGTACATTTGTATATATTGAATAAATTTAGTGAAGTTGATCCTCACTTGACCGACACAAAGCTCTTATAAAGGAAAAATACCCTCGGATGAATGAAAAATGGTTGTTGACGGATCATAACAAAACTTTCATAGATTATTTTAATAAAAGTATTTCTAAAGAGAGTGGTGCATCAGATGATTGCAAATGGTTATCACGTTTGCCTAAGTTTAATGTAATTACTTGGAGTGCATATGATATTAGTAAATATTCGTTCTACACAAAATCAAAGGATGATCATAGCACCATGCAAAATAGTGGTGTTATGGTTGAGGCTGAATCCATATACTTTTCTAGTTCCAAAGATAACAATCCAGTACTAGCATCTAGAGCATACTTTGGGATCATTGAGGAGATTTTGGAGATTGTCTATGTTTCTTTTAAAGTGCCTTTATTTAAATGTAGGTGGATTGACAGGAAAACTGGAGTAGAAACTGATGAATTAGGATTCACAAGGGTTGATCTTCGAAAGGCAACTTACAAGAACGAACCATTCATCATGGCAATCCAAGCAAAATAAGTTTTTTTATGTCACTGATCCATCTAACACTAGATTGTCAATTGTTCTTCAAGGAAAACATCTTCCCGATAGTACTGATGAAAATCAAGATTTTAACTATAAGACTCATTGTTTAGCAACACGTGTACGTCAATCATCTAAAAAATGATTTAGATGATGTGTATGTTATTCGTCGTGATCATGAAGAGGGCATATGGGAAAATTAGTAAGTAAATTATTTATTGCATTTGTTTCTTAATCATTTGTTTTAGTTTTGATGTAAAATTATAAAATATGTGCCGTTTTGGGTTTGCATTTTGGTGTAATAAATGAATATTTCTGTTTCAGATTGAGAAATTGACAAAATATACAATGTCTCTGTTTCAGGAATATGCAAAATATGGTTATGTATTCTATAATATAGTTATGTAATTCAGGTGCAGACGATAGTAGAAAAAAATCTTAACCATTCGGTTTCTAGAATAAATCGAGGTAAGAATATTGATATGTTACTTTGTTTCTATAAAACACATATTGCTAATATGGAGCGCGTCATTCAATTCTGAAAATAATAAAAATGCTGATGATAGGAATCGAATCCACGTGCAGTTAACTTGTTCCCTCGGCGTTTTAGTATCTGAGGTGATAAAGAGTAACATTTTATGACGATCTTATGTACCTCATGTTTGTTACCAACATCAAACGTATTGCGCGTCCGACGTTAGATGTGTTTTTTATAGTAGTGAATGGTTTGATTCGATAATATATGTCATAGTTAATATAAATCAATACTTTTAAAAAAAAGATTTTATTAATGTAAAATGAACTTAAATGGTTATGCTAGTGGCATGGGACTTTATTTTCTAAATCATTTTCTGTTTTTTCTTTTCTCACTTGTTAATAAAAAAGAAATATAAAAATAATTATTATATAATATACATATCAAATGATGAATATATTAAAGTATTGATATTTGAAAATTCCCCACTTTATTCTCTACTCATTTTAAAGGAGTCAAATCCTTCAAAACTACTAGAAAAATAGTTGAAAGAATCATATACCATATGATGTCTTATAAATGTGATTTTTCCAAATAATGTTAGAATGAATGATTCCCAACAAAATCAAACTACTGCAGTCTGATCAGAGATAAGCTGTACAATCTGATCATGTAAATTGCCGTTGGTAGCAAGGATGCCGCCTTTGGGGAATATGCTCCGCCGGCTTGTTTCATCTGCTGCAAGATCCATTTCAGTGCCTTCCCAGTCAGTTACCTGATCAAATTTACACATTATCCTTGAAACAATTTTAAAATTAGAAAACTTACTCAGGTTATATCTCATCAACCAGTCCTCATGTATGATCTCAGTAATATGCAATTCTAACAAAACTATAGAAGTAAAAGGTTCGAATGCAGACAATACACCATAACAATGGCATGTTACTATGTTGTTCATGTAGAAAAACTCATACCTTTCCACCTGCCTCATGAACGCAGAGCATGCCAACGGCGTGGTCCCAAGCCTGCAAAAGAATCAAATTAAGAGAAGGAAAAAAAAGTATATTCATCCAATTAGAAAGTAAAAATTGATAGCTACTACCATGATAGTCTTCTCTTTTTTACGTTGAATGAAAACGGATGCTCTACCAGACGCCACCATGAAATGCTTGATTAAACTACATTGATAACCAACGATGTTCGTGTCAAGAAAGAAGGAAATACAAGGAAGAAAGATGGAAAACCTATACGTATAATATTTCGTGTACCATCCACAACACCATGCCATAAGATATCAATTATCAGAATGTTTGATTGGATGTAACAAATTAGAAAACATATAAACATAACATCTTCCGCACCTTCCACAACATACGACCAAGAGAAGAACTTGGTTGCTACCTACATCATTTGCATTGCTTGTTGCATCAAGGGTAGCAGACAATGGCAGAAAATCCCATGTTTGACTATCTATAAGACAAAAGCGTGCTTTAGGTAACATGTTAAACCCATCAACAAAACATCTGGTCCATACAGCAGATGATTCGGGCTTGCTATTCAACGTTTTTGTCCACGTTCCATGGCCTTTATGAGCAATCATCATCATTCCTGATCGAGGAAGAGCTTCGCTATCCTCCTCCACCTCAGCAGGGGCTTTTCCAGATACACCTTCTTGCCAGTTAGGGCAGCCCATAATACCAATTTCAGTCTCTCCTTCAACCACAAGACACAAACCGACCTATATTTTTGGAAATCTCTAGGAGAATATTAGTGTTTAGTGTCAGAATACAATCAAATGTAATTGGAATTGTGTCTAACAACTGTAGAATGTTTAGCTTGTGTTTATATAAAATAAAACTGTAGTGCTTTAAACCTTTCTCAATAAGATTCAGTTTTAGAACCTACTTGAAATTTCAATTTTCTGAAATCTGTTTTCAAAAGCGAAGGATGAAGGTGCTAATGACGAAGCCAAATACATAATCCATTATAAAGAAAATAACAATCATTGCCAGTACTCCTTATCTTAAACACACACCATGTATTATAGACATTCCTCAAGAGGAAAACGCATTATAACCCCTAAACACTAATGCATTATGACAGGCAAAGGTTACTCTACAAACTGCATTGGAAAGATCTTCTAGATGGAAACTTTAGGAAATGTCTATGTTGTATACAAATACATGAAAAAAATCTAGAAAGTACCAATAGAAACTCGAAGCAGTCTTCATTATAGCTTACCACATATAACGCAGAGTTATCTTTCAGAAATCCACGAGTTCCATCAATTGGATCGAGCAACTGTATTTAATCAATAGACTTAATAGAAGTTTTGCAGGGAATAAAACAAACAGAAGTCAATGCATGGATTTTTGACATAAACCTACAAATAGTAGAAATATATAGGTTTCACAAAAAACATGACAGGTAATCACCACCATTTGCTTATATCTGATAGATGGCGGGGTCCGAGAGAAATTGAGAATCTCAAATCATATTTTCATTCTGAATGATTTTTGAGTTTACCAAAATATTTATACATGAACTCAACAAAAAGTAAATCCTAGCTAATAATAAAGTTTACTTAACAGAAACTGTAACAGTCTATTACGCATAAGAAACCCAACACAAATCATCTAGCAAATCATGGTATAGGCTTATGTTTTGATGCATCCATGAACATGCAAATTAGCTTAATTGTCGTATGAACATGGCATACATGTCCAGACTCGCATAGGTGATTAGAATGCACTTAGGTATTTGAAAGACACACCATATAAAGTCTAAATCATATTGAAAGTCATTGGATCATAGAGCATGTAAACCAAAATGCCTAAAGTGCTGTCAAAGATGCCTTAACTAACTCAAGCATTAAGGAGTCAATTCCTACTAAAGAATATATCCATGTCTTCAAGGAATCGATTCATAGAAGTGTCTTGACATTCAGCGCTAATTCCTTGACAGATCCATGTTAATAGGGTTTTTCATTGTTCTTGATCAAATCAAATCTAGAATTCATTAGCTCTCTATGACTCTATCCAATATTAAAAGGATTTTGAAAAGGGAAAAGATTTGGAACAATTAGATAAAGCCCTATTCACTGTGGTTCATACCGACTTTGAGACTATAAGGATCAACATGTGTGACTGTGACTGAGAACTACTAAACATCCTGAATTAGTTATGAAAACTACAACATTGAAGTTTAGACAATGGCTTTGTCAGGACATCTGTAATGTGATCCTAGGCTTGTATGTGAGATACAAGTGAAAGTTCAGCACCATTTATCAAACAATGATATTCAGAACCACGTGTTTCGACCATGAGTACAATATTGAGCCGTGTCAGTCAAAGGACAAAGCTACTATGCTGAGACTGCTGGGGTTCAGAAGTGTTAGCAGACAGCAATGGAGGAAGCAGTATGAGAAGCATTCTGACTTACTAACATATGCTGCAGATGTGGTTGAAATGCAGATGTGTGAACCCATCATTATTAGTGGTGAGTGGTGACTCCCAGATGCTGTAGGCCTAAGGTTCTAGGTTGCTGTTGCCGAGAGGTGGGCCTGCTGAAATTGAGGCAGCTGCCTATAGTCTGGATTTGTATCAATGATGGCATAGAGGCAGCAGGGCCAAATTTGTAACAAAATTGGCATTGAACCACACCGCAACATCCTCAAGCCCCAGACCTGTCAATTCTGCCATTTCTTCACACAAAAAAAGTCCAAAACAACCACCAAAATAGGATTGAAACTGAGATTGAGAAGATTGAGTGTGTAGTTGCACAGAATCAAAGGAGTGAGTAACATGAATTTTAGGAGAGGAATACGATGTGATTTTATTGAACTTGGAACCAAAAAGTGAGGTTGCGAGATGCATTTTTCTTTAAGGAAGCTTGGACTGTACTTAATTCAGGCTTTTATACCAAGAGCAGTGCTTCAGTATTCTCTATGTCATAGAGGTCAACCTCGTATCTGATGAAAGTCGTCAGTGCCTAACACTCTTCATGCAGTCCTTCTCGAATCACATCCACTTGTTATTGTAGAGAAACTAGCCCACCTATGAAGATTAGAATATCAACAAGTCCTGTGATTCTGATTAAGACTGTGAGATGTGATTGACTTCTTTTTTTGGTATTCCACATGTCTATTTGCAGCTGACTTGCTATGGCATTTGGCCAATCAGTGGGGACTGTAACCAGGACAGTCGAAGATGATCCTGACCCTTTCAGGCTGTATAAGCCACAGTCCCCCTTCCAGTATCACAGTCTGCTTCAGTGAGAAACCCAGGAGGAGCGTTGGATTGACCACAAATATGAAAAGACAACGCCTTTTTAGACAGTGTGAGAATATCCTTTTCATCCAACTTAGCCAAAACAGTAAGAAAAGTAATAGGTGCAGATCTTGAAATGGAAGTCATTAGAGCGGGAACTGAGGTCAGCGAAGAAAGAAAAGAATATGGCAGTATGTGCAACTCCAAGGCACGAATCAAGTGGAAAAAATCCACACCGGTAGGGGCAAAGGCTAATATCAGAAGGCATGATTATGGTCAAAAGCAAGTTCTGACTACCATGATAAAAGGAGAGGTTAGAGTGAAATTGAGAGAGAAATCAGGAACCCAAGCTTTTGTTGTTTGCTACACCAGGTCATCAGGACAATAACTTCAAACTATCTGAGCAAATTACTAAATAGAAACCATGTTAGAGTCTAACAACTTGTAGAATATTCTAAAGATTCCACACAAAGCCTGCACGTACAGACTCATGCAATGTAATGCTCTACCAATCTCCAAGAATGAAATATGAACAAAATTTTCATGCAATACGGAAAATGGAGCTACGATTCAAATTTCCAAAAAGCTATACCGCATCACTTTATAGCATTTAATTAAACTGCTTAATATGCCCACCCAATATGTGGCTGGCTTTGGTCCAAATACAAACGCATCCTTGCCCCCTCTATCAATTGCCTTGAGTACATCGTCTTGCGTCAATGTTTTAGAAGTGGGGCTAACTTCAGCACTTACTGCATCAAACACGGTACCAGCTAAATTTCTTGATCGCACGAAAGCAGAGTCCTCCTCAGCCACCAATGGGATAGAAGGGAACAACTTACTTAACTCTGTTTTTGATAAGATAACATATAAAACCAAACTTTTCAATCCCATGAAAACAACAATAGCTTCTCATAAATCATATTCAAGGCAATAAGCTAACCGCGATATTAGGTTAATTAACATAACCGTAAACCAATAATATAAGGAAACAATGCTGCACCATACTAATATTTGTGCTTTTAGATGAATCACATTGGCAAAAAGTTAATGTATAACCAATCTCCAATGGCATTTCCAAAATTCCACTTAGTGTATGTTTAGTTTAGCTTTTGGAAGAGTCTGGAAGCAATTCTAGAGATGTAAAATTGATTTTGAAATGATTTTGAGGTGTTTGATTCTTCTAAATTAGAATTAATTTTACTTTTAGAATTGATTCTACTTGAAGCTATAGTTTGTAGTTTTTGAATTTAAACGTGATTTTTACATTAAAATCTACGGTTCAACTCAATTTTGCAAAAATTATCCAAACATAAATCATTTTACATTCAACTCACTTTTAATCATAATCAATTTTATCGAATCAATTCATTCAAAATCAATTTTTTTCATTGCAGAACCCAACACACGCTTGGTGTATGTTTGGTTTACCTTTTGGAAGAGGCAAAAACAATTCTAAAGATGTAGAATTTATTTTGAAATGATTTTGAGGTGTTTGGTTCTTCTAAAGTAAAATTGATTCTGCTTCAAAAATTGATTCTACCTGAAGTTATAATTTATAACTTTTAAGTTTAAGCATGATTTTTACAATGAAATTTATTGTTCAACTCAATTTTGTATAAAATTGTCCAAATATAAATCAATTTACATTCAACTCACTTTTAACTAGAATCAATTCACTCAAAATCATTTTTTTCCACCGCGGAACCAACATACGCTTAGTTTTTCTTGCAAATCATGTTCATCACATTTTGTTGTACTCCTAGATAGAGCTACTTCGGCAGAACCACTATTGACAGGGTCAATTCAAATTCACTATAACATTGATTTCATTCACATACATATAGTTTATCTTTGAGATTGAAGTTAATACCTAAACTTATAAGAGCTTGAACTCCAAAATCAGCCACAGTCACTGGAGTCTGATCAATTTTCTCAACAACCTTCCCATCAGTAGAGAATAAAGACGATTTCACCTACACATTGAAGACAATATAACATTATTCTTCAAACTCGAAAAAACAAAAAAGGTTCACAAAAAAAAAAAATCAAACAAAAATTGGGGAAATAGTGGGAAAGAAGATCCACTACCTGAACACATAAACGGCAAGCACTGTGAACCACATCAATGGCTGCTTCGAGTTCTTTGTGATACTTCGCATTTTCCTTCGGAAATGGAAGGTTTGCCCTAAATGAATGAATGCAGATTGGAATTAGTAGGGAGCTATGTAGCAACTATAAAAAAATGCGTATCCGTGTCCATTTTGGTGTCAGAGATCTATAACAACATTTGTAATTACATTTAATTAATTAATTTTTTAAAATTATTATCAGGATCGCTGTGTTTGAGGTATCCATTCTTCATAGATAGTGAGAAAATGAAAGAGTTTGACATCAAGAAGAATGAGTGAAGGGAATAGACCTTATGTTGAAGCGTTGAGTGGTGAAGCTACGGCTTCGAGTGGCTCCGCCGTTGGTAAAACGGACGGCGGAGAATTGAGAAGAGTGCAGGATATCCATGGAAAATGGCATCAGCGCTTTACGTTCGTTGAAGAAGATAGAAAGAGCTTATAGTTTATCCATCATATTTTATTTATTACTCCTTCAATTTTAAAATTAATGTTATTTACGTATCAAAAAATATAATAATAATAATTTCATAAGATATTACATTTTTATTATACTAATTTTATATTCTAAATATGTTAGAAGTAAACTAGAGAGTAATAATTCGTAGCACTACAAGAAAAAGTTGAATAAGTTGAATTAACTTTATTATATATTTCATTATATTAAATAATATATTAAAATAACTTATATATTATATTTTTTTTATTCCAAAAATATATTATATATTATATATTTTATTATATTAAATAGTATATTAAAATAGTTTATATATATTATATTTTTTATTTTAAAAATATATTATATATTATATATTTTATTATATTAAAACAATTTATATATTTAATTATATTAAATAGTTTATATATTATATATTATATATCATAAAAACAGTTTATATAAAAAAGTATATTTAGTTTATATAAAAAATACTAAATACAATATTAAATTTTATAATATTATTAATATTATTAATTATGAAATTTATTAATTATAAATATAATAATAATAATAAGAAAATTAAATATTTACGTTTATAATTTAAAAAATAAATGTTGGTTTTTAGTTTAGGGTAAACCCCCTAGCCACTATGGCAAAGAAGGGATTAGACAACGTTTTTTTTGTGCTTAGACAACACTTAAAAGCACTGCCTATTTCAGTGCTGCTATAAGTAAAGTCAGTGCTTTGGTTAAATGAGAAAGCATTGTCTAAAGCACCCTTTTAGGCAACGCTTTTACTTTAGACAACGCTTTTGGTTATCTTTTAGGCATCACTTTAGACAGCGCTTTGTCTGTAAAAGCATTGTCTAAAGTCCCCCTTTAGGCAGCACTTTTAGTTATCTTTTAGGCAGCACTTTAGACAGCGCTTTAAAAGCGTTCTCTAAAGCCCCCCTTTATGCAGCGCTTTCACTTTAGACAGCGCTTTTGACAAACGCTTTAGACATCATTTTTCCTTCAAAGCGCTGTCTATTCCCTACTTTAAGCAGCGCTTTTTATTTGAAGCGTTGTCTAATATCCACAAATTTTTTTATATATAAAACTTAAAAAAAGCGCTGTCTGATTTATACAATAAATATGCACCAGATTTTCACCATATTTTGCATCAGGTTTTCACCACATTTTGCACCAAATTTTCACCACATTTTGCACCAGATTTGGTAGCTTCAATCCAATATATATGCATCAAATTTGCATATACAAAAAATCTACATATATACAACAACAACTTGAAAATTGATGATACAACTTGAAAATTCTAAAAATTCTAAATTGATGTTTAATCTACATATTACTATCTTCGAGAATTTCTAAAAAACAACAACAAAGAACTTGTTAGCTCTATCTTCTACATATGCACCTATAACCTGAAACAAAACCAAAAGATCGAAATTCATACCATGATAAAACAAAACTTTATTACAATTTATACTTAAAACTTAAAAGTTGTACTCAAAATTCTCATCAATGAAAGAAAGACAATATACCTTATAAAATTCTCAACTCCATAATGAATTGACATCATTCCTCCATAAGTTCATTCAATTGATCTTTTGAGTAATGAGCACAATTGAATTCTTCAAAGTACTACATAGTAATATAACATAGTATGTGATTTAGTTAAAACACTACGCCATTTTATGAGAAATATTAAAATAATTCCTAATTAGAAATTCATACCGTGGATGGAATCTCTATTTGGTCCAAAAAAAGTGTTTCTTTCATAAACCTCATCATGAAATAACCGCAACCTATACCATTACATTGACGTGGACACTACACATGGAAATAAAATACAGATATATATCAGGATATGCCCCTTAACTTGTTTTTATCAAGTATCATCACTAATAAAATCAAAATTGTGAAAATATACATGCACTCTGATCCACGTAATGTTGTTGGCTCTACTCTTTGGTACTTGAATACCTCTTTGTGATCGAAAAGCCTGTAGAAAGCTATAATAAAATATAAACGACTACTCAGAACAATCTCACATAGATAAATAAATATACACACGAATATTTAGAATAATCTCACTTACGTATCAATCATCTTCTTCAAATTTGGGTATATTGTCCAATCATTGTATAACGAATCCAGATAGTATACAATCTCTCTAACAGGATTAATCGCAAGTAACAACCAATATCCACTGTAAAATTAAACAAATGTTTGATGGAAGGTTTCTACACAACGTCAAAAATCGAAAAAATATAATATATGAAGTTATGATGAAAATCTAACCCGTTGCCAGTATTATATGGTAAAAATAACAACTTTTTTGTATCTTTGCTGACCATAAATAAACCGAGTACATACGATATGACATCATTTGGTTTTGTTACAATTAACCCTGCGTTGACAGTGTTGGGAGCTAAGAAAGCGAATCTTTCTTCCAATCCACGCGGGCGCATCACTTTGTCATACAAAAACCTTAAATAAAAACATCATTAAAATTAGGCTATATTCATTGAAATGAGTAAATAAATTGTTCATTTAATTAAATAAAATTGATCGGTGTATACCTGATGTATGTATCGATAACACCGAGGCCTAAAGTAGAATTTTTTAAAACTTGATCAATATCTTCTCTACCAATTGCTTCCATGTATTCATAACCAAAAATGTCAGCCTTCATAGGTATAAGACGAGTACCACCAATTGGAATATCTGTTATTCCTATATATGTCCAAAGGCACGAACTATACTGAGAAGTAGGTTTTTTGCTAGTCGTGGTCTTCTTACCCCTACTGACTTGCTCAATCTCTTTAGCATGCATCTAAATATCATTTAATTAGTTAGGTGAAGTATAAAATCATTCTATGCATAAATATCATATAATTGTGTTATACCTCTTTTTTTGATGCAACTGACTCGGTTTATTGCTTAATCACCTTATCTTTTGATTTGGATTTTGTCGGAGTCTAACATTACCATGAAAAAAATGTACGTTAAATGGTCATAAAAAAATTGAATACTCAAAGGTTCATAATAGTTTAAAACATACCTCCTCATCTATACAAATGAGGTTTGACCGCCATGCAACATACGATCCTATTGCCTCTCCCACCAATGTTGCATCTGAAATATCGTCAGGCAAAGGTAATGGCGCATCCCTCTCTAAAGCTATATCAATTGATACTTTCATAAATACAACAGGGAGCGGTTTATGGTGAAGTACTTCTCCCAAGGTGTTATGCACTTTTCCCTTGCCAACCATGCGATAAGTAGGTGACGATAAATATAGCTGACAAGGTGAAATGCCCTATACCAATAATAAATATGAAATTGTTAATGTGTATATATGTCAATTAAAAAATTATGCTAATTCATAATAATATATATTACCTCGGGAATTTTCTGTTGGAAATCACAATTGATATTATCTTTGTCACTAGTATCCTTGAACCCTGGACCTTACCTTTCTGACATGTATTTTTCTTTGTCCTTTTCCAGCTCACAAACTTTAGCTTTTAATTTTTTTTAACTCTTCCATCACTTCTTTATTGCTATGACCTTTTCTCTTTTGATGGTTACCCAAAGATGTTTGAGTCACTCTGAATTCCTTACCCCTCACACGACCGGTATACTCAGGAACATTTAATACCCGACTAAGTATGCTCATGCAGTCATGGTCTTCAGTTTGAGTTAAAGATTGAGATAGACTCTCCTGAAATCCAGATGCATAGCGAAATAAATTAGTGGTGATTAAACTCATAATTTCTTTATTTTAATAAGCTCGATATTTAATTAAAGGAATATTGATATACTTACACATTACTCATAAATTTGCTACATATCTTCCTTAACAACTTCATCCTTATCCACCCGGGCAACCTTCCACAGAACATGTTTCGGAAGAGATGTTTCTTGAATTTTCTCCTCTTCTCACTACACATTAAGAAAAATAATAAAATCAATAATAACACATGATGAAAAATTATATCATAGCATTTATATATACTTACCAATCTTTGTTGTAAGCGTGCATATCCCATACGCCCTTTTCTTTATGGATACGGGGGACTTGATGCTCGTTGGCGATTCACGCCACCCACATTCTGAAAATCTAAGGTTTTTCTTTTTTCTTTGAAGGTTTCCCATTCTTCAAGCGAAACCAATCCTGCATACGCTTATGGACGCTCCGCATCGATAAAATTATTATCGCATCCCTAAGAAACTTGTTTGTAAAAAAAGATCGAAACCCTCTTAGTCTTTTTCCGGCCAATTGAAGACAATATGATTTTAGATCATCATCAATATTAAAAGAACTCTACAAAAAAATACAATATAAAAAGCATTAGTAATTTAAAGACATAAGCGTCAACAAAAACGAAAGACATCACATATGACACCTATATTTCAGTCCATAAGTTTTCTTTAACGAGTTTCAACTCACGCCTTCTCCAATCATCACAAGTGATTGAAACTTCTCTCCTCACAATGGAACCAATGTAACTTGTTAACATTGAACCGTTAGGCTCAATTAGTTGTTTGTCTTCATTCCAATGTACGACAAATTTGATACCTTTATCTCTTGCATGAATGATTGACTTCATAATTATTATTCCTCGTCTAATATCATTCTCCACATCACGAGCTGATTCATTTCCATCATTATTAGAAGCCATTTGACCTGTAATATTAAAGAACATAAACACCATATAAAATTCAAGTAACATAAACACAATATAAAAATATAAACACAATATGAATTACTAGTACCTTTTTCACTAACATCTCTTTCGTTTCCATCATTATTAGAAGCGAGATGTGATTTTTCCTCATTGGTAGCCATTTAACCTGTAATATTAAAGAAAAACATAAACACTGAAATTTTGGCAACAGATACTTAATGTCACAGTGAATGTTATGACACCGTATCTGACACACTTCAAGACAGTA